CAAGGAAAAACAGAGAAGGAATCCTGCCTGAATTCAATTTTACCTCTTACACTGACCAGCTAAATTCATCTAGGGATTTTAAAACTGTAGGACATACATAACTAGCAGGATAAATAACTAGCAAGAGTATAATTTTTGTTTTAAACAAAAATACTCCATGCAAACACTCCAAATGTACTGGAGAACAGACATTCTTGTTGACAGCTGAATCCTTCAACTCTGAAATCAATACATGCTTTGCTTTCTGCAGAAAGAAAAAAAGGGTGCAAATGTAATAGTACAGTAATAGTACTTGATTCATGTAATTAGAATAATATTATAATTAAAGACTCTATCATATGATTTCTGCTCTTAGAATCTGATCTAATTTCTGTGAGAAATGCTCTTTTCCTATTATTGGGCTGTACAACAGACCCACGGTAGTTCAGGTCCATGAAGATCAAAGAAAGGTTTTCAACAGAGCAACAGGCATCAATATCATTCTTTCATAGTTCAAATAACAGTGAAGGAAAATGGAAAGGATACTAACTGATCTCTCAGGAATATGGTACAATAGGAGGGATTAATTACTTAAACCAATGCTGTCTTTGTCACTTACTTCTCTCTCCCCTAATCTGCACGCAGGCAGCTTTAAAACTCACAGTGATAAGCCAGTTTCATTAGTCTTTGTTAACACTGTTTGTGTACCCGGGTTGAGGGTAGCAGACTCTGAAGTAATAGGACATTATTCTGTCCTATTATTACCATATGGCTGAAACACAAAACACATTTCTTAAACATGTAAACCTCATTACAAACAGGATGCTCTGGGACTGTGGTTTGGGGGTTTTTTAATTAGAATTATATGAACAAAATCCTACTGAGTATGTTTTTAGTCAGGCCATGCCAAATGATCAGTGACTAACCAACAGCACTACCTCAATTTGACTGACAAAAGTTGAAATTAAATCTGATTAAAAGAAACCCAAACAAACTTGCAAAAATTTCTTTTCTATAAAGAAGATAAATTTACCCAAAAAGAGAAACGAAAAAGCTTTCTTTTTTTTTTTTTTTTTTTTTTTTTTTGGTGAGAGCAAATAAATTCTGGCTAAAACACAAAGGAAAAAAAAAAAAAAAAAGAGAAACATTTTCCAAAGAACCCTGAACTCTTTTAGGGGAAGGCAACATATGACGCAGTTTCCACTTTGTTAGCTCCATTTAAGGCTGTGCTTTACAGTCTGGGTTAGCACTAAAGAGACACAGCAATTCAGTTCATCCCTAAGCACACACTTAACTTCCAGTGTACAAAGGTAGCCTCAATTATTTCAATGAGAATGCTCCTTGCTCCTGTAAACAGTGTCATGCAGGAATGTTTGCAGAACTGTAGTCTTTAGTTGGTGATGTGCTTGAACAGCTTCACAATGATGCCTGTTTGCCACATCAGACATAAACTGCTGTTATTCCCTCACAAAGAATGAAAGTGTTAGAATGTTAAAGAAATAATATCAGTTAGGATTATATTCTTGGAATACTTTGCTATAATAGTAATGATTTAATGTCCTTTTTATTGAAATATTATTTGCCTGAATTGCAGTGATTCTTTTGGATGAAATAGTTCTTCCTTCCTCTCTCTTAGATACTCTATTTCCATCTGGTTTTTAAGACTAGATTTACTCAGGTCTGTTCTACACTACTGTGTTGGCTTTAAATCTTACTGGCTTTTTCAGATACACTTCATAAAGGTATATAAAATTATACAGTGTTTTTGGTTTTTTTGGTTTCGAACTGCTGAACGGCAACATTTGAAACTCATTGACACTTGTTACAAAATCCAGCCACAAGTTACCTGAAGACAAAAATGCATTTGCCTCTTGACTTTTCTGCTCTTATTTAAATAAAACAAACTCCAAAATGTCTATAATATTACCCAGTGATACTCATTGGTAGATATTTATAATTTGAAACAACAGATTACATTGAAACATTTAACTGTTGTTACATTACCCAGGTATTTTTACACTATTTTTATTCTATGCTTTTGTTTTGCTGACAACATGAAGATTTATAATCCCTTCTTGCAGTAATCAGTCCCACTATAGAGAAAGCACTGAGCTCTTTAAAGACTTCCAGCACAGCAAACTACTGCCTTTTTTTTTTTTTTTCATTAATTCATTATTTGTTAAATAGTCGAGCAGTACAATTAAGTATGATATCAGTACCTGGCTACTTTACATTCCCAGTATGATTATGGTCATTGTCTAATTTGTTGCTAAAATGTTTTCTGGGGTTGTTTTTGTGAAAAATTTTATGTTATAATATATAAAAATGCAACAGGAAATCCACAGGGAGTAAAAGATTGAGAAAGCACCAGCACTTTTATGGCTGAAAACAATTCCATTGCAGCAGACCATGGAGATCAGAATATAGCTACAGTTTACCATAAATCTGCACCCTTTTTAAGCATTAGTGTTACACTGCTTATTTTAAAAATGAGCAGTATGTAAAAATGTGGGAACAGAAGTGAAATTTCAGATTTTTCATACACTGCACATAGGAATTTTGGAATTTTGTATCTCTTACTTCAGAAGATTCCAATGTGAGCTATCAAACTGCCCAGTAGTTACAACTAACCCTGTCCCATGACAAATTTTCTCTTTTAAATGTGGATTAATGAGAAAATTGTAACCGACTGCACATTTGCCAAAAAAAAAAAAAAAAAAAAAAAGGCTTTGCTGGTTAACAACAAATCTAATTTTTGTCTCATTTAACAAATGGCATATGGAATTTTCTGAAAGGCATATGGTACTAATTAAACATGGTATGAGTCCCCCAGACAGTCAGTATAGCCATGAGGTATCCAGGGAATGTTTCCCCTCAGTATACATTATCTGTGTATTGATTTGATGGTCTGATTGGATAAAAGCCTTGGTAGCAAACAATGTCTAAGGATTTGGGAACTGCACTTCTATTCTTATCCATATGAACGCTGCAGTTGCCAAGGAAAACTGAGATAGTTAATAAGCAGGCAAATTAGGAACTAATCAGGACCAGTTTATTTTCATTCATTCATTAACCACTAATTTTGGTGTCTATTTTCAATCTGTGCTTTTACATTTAGAGCACTGTTCTGTGATTCTTATGCCAGAAACCATAAAGTTAAAGCAATTGTCCTGTTTTTTTTAAGAGAACCAATAAACTAGATTTGTACATTTTAAAGACTAACAAACTACTAACAAACACCTAAAAGTAAGTTGTTTGATTGATTTTGAAAATTTTTATATACACAGTGTGTGTAAATACACTTTCATGTACCCAACATCAATTGCACTAATTAAATATTTGTTCTACTATCTCAGTTAGGTAGGGTTCATTACTAACTGTAAATGTTAATCCACTTCTGTATAACTTTAATTCTCTTTTCAATTCAAAGATATCAGCTTCCTCTAGCATATAGTAGGTAAACTACTGAAAGGATTAAGAAATTGAATGCTGTGTTTGTTCTTTTTCATAATGATCACCTCAGGTAAAACTGACAGCAGCAGTGTATTCACAGTCATTATTGGGCTTATACTATCCTAAGCAAAATAAAAAGTAAAATGGTTGAGTTGCCTGAGCTAATGTGAAAATGGTAAATGATCTTCTGTTAACCAGAGTATTTCTGTGCAGAAGAACATGAGAGTCTCAAGACCACTACGTCTAGCATCTAAGTGGGCTTTTTTTTATTGAGACACTTCTTGAAGAGTAACAGAACAGCAGTTTGTGACTTGAAAGGTAGCACTGACTCCTTTGTAGTCCCAGTAAATTTCAGAGTAGTAAAAAAGTGCAATTTCAATAGTGCTCTGAATTGGCCAACTTACTCAATCTACCACCACCTGCTAAATCTATTATCACCACTAACACAAAGAAATGAAAACTGCTTCCTAGTCTCCCAACAGCTAAATATGCACTCTGCTTTTGATAACAAGACTTGAGAAAAAGCAGTGAGAGTTAAGTAGCAAGGGTGTCACTCAGTATTAAAGCATCCTGAAATAAAGTCACCTGTGACTCTTACACCTAAAATAAGATGACACTAAAAATAGACCTGTAACATTAATAGCCTGCTGCAAAACAGTTTAACACTTAAGATACAAAAGCCTCTTGGCAAATGAAATATGTCAACTGAAGAATGAATTCTGGACAATAATGTCATTTTTACACTTTCTGCACACTACACTGAAAGGTGTAACCAGACTCTTACCTAACTACAAAAAACATTGTACATACACTTATCTTGAAGGCTCTACTTTAACAGGTGGTTTCAAAATATTTTCAAAGCATATGGAAACACTAAGTTTACCCTGTAAACTTAAGATCCTCTGCTCTTGACATGCTGGATCAATGAACTGAAAAGAGCAATAACATTTAAAGTGGCTGAATGCTCATTATGTAAAACAAGCTGCATTTTCCTGCTCTACCTACTTTATTTCTAATTGTGAAACAGAATAAGAATTGTGCTCTCTGCCTTACTGCTCTAAGATTTCAAATATCATTTCACTTTAAAAAAACACTTGCCCTTAGAGGTTTTTAAAACTGAAAAATTCATGCATGATTAACAGCATTCCTCACATCAAGGAGTCTTTCTTTCCTCCTGTATATTGCACCAGACATATTGAAAGCCTACGTATCCAAGATATATACAGTATGCTAGATAACACTGAAAACCTAAATTCACAAGAAGGCTAAAAAACCCAGATCAAATCAGCTTTTAGCTTAGGAACAAGATTTTTACACAGCTGTAGAACAATATTTGCAGGTTTGCTTTAATGTAACAAATTAACTCAGCTTCCCAACCCTTCCTTCCTGCATTTACATTTAATGTATTATGCACCAAAACAAAACAAAACAAAAAAAAAAAAAAACAAAAAAAAAAACCACAAAAAAAAAAACCGAATAGAGATTCTTTCAGCCTGACTATCCTGTCAGCAAAACCAGCAGAGAATTTTTCATTGATAAAAACAGAGAATGGAAGAAAACAGACCAACCTTCACAATGTACGTCACACCAGGTCCCAGGATCTTCTCACTCGAGTGCAGCCATCCTCGAGAGGATTTATTGACAAAACTGCTAGTTTGATTCCAGTCTTCACTTCCCAGGTGCATTTCCTCTGACCGTGCTTTTTTCCCCATACTCATCTTGCTCACGTCCTGCTGAGAACACGAAGTGGCAGAGACAAGGTTACATATGTTGTCTGAAGCCCCTGCTGCTGAACTAGAAGCACTCGAGCTTCCCTGCAATTTGGAGACAGCAAGCTCCTTTACTGCAGAGGAGAGGTTTTTGATACCCAAAAGGCTGCCCGTGCTAGAGAGTTTCAAGTGGGACACTTTATGGATGAGGGTACACAGGGTGGTGGGTCCATCTTCTTGGTCCTTGCGGAGAGCCTCTGGTGAGACCAGGTACGAAGGTGAAGCTGAAGTTGTAGCAACTGCTGAGACCTTGCTGTTCATGGGCAAATTGTGAATAATATCATCAACAGATGTCACAGAATCATTCCTGAAGCGGTTATACTTGGTACGTTGAAGCATGCCCTTCTATCTGCTTTCCTGCATATGTTCTGGCAAATCTGATGCCAATGCAGGAGATGCCTGTACTAACATACCAAGCAATTCATAACGGCACGGAGGGTTAACAAGAGTTTAGGGTAAAAAAGAAAAAGAGTGTAAGCATAAATGAAAAAATATATATTTTTAAGAAATTTCTTTTAGTTTCTTGTTAAGGTTGGGTGAAGTAACAGTTTTCTGTGACTGAGATCTCAGTCCTGCTTAGAGCTGCCAACTCGCTCACAGCAAAAGCATGACTCACACAAATGAGAAGGACCCTTTTCAACAAAAGGCTGTGAACACTGCAAATCACTTCCTGTAGCCAAAAAAAAAGGAGAGAGAAGAAAAAAAAAAACCACATCCACCCACTTACAGCACACTAGCACCAATCAATTCTCAAATTCCCTTTTCCTATCTTCTCAAACAGATACTTCCTCCCAACCTTTAATTCTTATCCCCTCCCACCACCCTTTTAGTACCACAGGCAATTACCTCTCTAAAACTGAATTAATAGCCTTTATGAAACACCACACTTTATTCATCTGTTAAAACGTTCCACCTCACATATTTGTGAATCTATAAAGAAATCACAATTAGATAGCAAATATCTGGATAGTATTTGCATACATATAATCTCCCTCTCCTGCCCCTGCAGCAGAACACAGACACCTTATAGGTTTTCAGAACAGATGAACAGAACTAAAGACTATATACATTTTTTTTCCATAAAAGCAGCCTAACAGTGCCTTTTTGTAAATGCAGTCACTCACAGAAACTGTTATATTCAAATTTTGACAGAGAAAGAAATCCTTCTTCCCTATTACTTCACAAAAACATTCTATTTTAATGCAGGAATTACGTAAGTACCTATGTGTGAAGAAAAGTATTTTTCTGATGTCCAAAAACAGGCTTAATAGACGTTTTTTCTCTCACAACTGATTTTCATCCCGAAGAAAGACATGAAGAGGGTCTTCAACTCGCTGGAATGTTTGGTTCAATTCTGAAAAACTGAAAAAAACCCTGAGAGAATATTAAAAAGGTAGCAGCAAACTGAAAGCCTGCAGTGAGGAAAAAAAAAAAAAAAAGCCTTTATTAAGAATGAATGTCAGTCACAAACACTTGATCTGGAGAAAAAACATGCAGAACAGGTATTTCATTTCTCCTGCAATTTCTTTAGAAGTCCAAATGTGTACAGCATTGTGAAACACAGTACCCATCACAAGTCATATGGCTTTTTCCTATAAATCAATCTGCTTTGCAAAACATTTTTGGATGTAGGACAACACACTGCATTATAAAAAAAAAATCAGACCAGAGAAGTTGCATAGTGCAAATTTTTAAAATAAATTACAAACTGCAGCACACTTAAAGGAAAAAAGCCTATGGAATTCCTTCCTTCTCCCACGACAAAAGGCTGCAGTATACAAACTGCAAACACAGTGGAACAGCCGGCTTAAATACAGGTATATTCATGACATACTGAATTAAGTTAGCACCTCTTATCCCGGCAGTGATGAATAATGGCAATGTCCTAGTCAATGTAAAGCAGTTTTCTACTGATCTGCAGAAGAGCCTTTCATCACCACGCTGCAAACCTGCTACAGCATCCTCACAGCATTCATTCCTCTCGTCATCCTCCTAGCACAGCAACAGCAAATATACACACCATAGCCTATTTTTACGTGTCTCTACTGCCCAGAAAACCCTACTGCTCCCGAACGGCTCTCTTCATTAGAAGCGGCCAGCAGGACTGCAAAATGTGAATGAGATGCTGCGCGAGTGAATGAAAGGGCTGGCTAGAATCCCCACAATTCTGTGAATGAAGCGAGGCCTCGCAGCCTCTGCCAGGCAATCCCTTGGGTGCTCACCAGCCCAGCCAATACCAGCCGGCTTTGATGACTCATTCAGCAAAGCCTTGCTAAATAGTGGAAGATCCCATTTCGAGCACAGGCGGCACCTTTTTTGCTGCAACACCAGAAAATGAAGCCCGCATGTCAGCAGACGGGAGTGGGTCGTGAAGCCCCTGCGGAAGACAGGGTGTTGCCAGAAAAATGCCTGGGGTGTCCACAGGAGTAGCAGGTGAGGAAAACAGTGGAGTCAGATCTCTGTTTCTCCCCGACTGTGTTCATTCAGCCAATTCATTTACATCCAGCACAGGAACATGAATGTGCACATTTCGTTTGATATTCGATTGCTCTCTGTGCACCCGCAGATTCACAGATTTTACAGGTTTGTCTTCAGAGACCTCTGACAAAAACAAAACAAAACAAACAAACAAAAACCCTATAACAAATAAATAAACAAAACCCAAACAAAAAACCCACCCAATCAACAACCCCGCCCCCCCATAAAAATAACCACAAAAACAAAGCCAAAGCTCTCCTTGAAAAAAAATTGCATATACTTATTTCTCCCTTATTTACCCTGTTAGCACAGTAGATAATTAAAAGCAGTATAATCATCACTCCAGGGAATGGTAGGCAAAGGTAAAGCTAGAGGATGAAAGCTTCCCAGAGCACCAGCAAAAGGTCTAATTTTGAAACTTTCACTGGACAGAGAAATGCTTGCAAGGCATCCATTGGATGCAGAGCTCTACTGCAAATCTGACACCAGACACTGCAGAGAAGTAGAAGCCACTGAGTTACCCAGTGCTTGAAATCCAGTGCCTTCAGACTGACTTCAGCATCTGATCAGGAAACTGTCTCCCTTACAAATCCAGTCCGAGGGTAGGAGAACTACCCTCAACATTTCAAAACCTTGAAACATTTCAAAGCCTTTTGAACATTTCAAAACCTTGCCTTTTATAATTCCAGAGACTAGAAACAGTACATAATTTTGCCCTGCAGGCAGTAGGTTCAAATCCAACTCCAGGAAATAATGAATGAAATTAGGAGACTGTGTAATAGGCACAAACTGCAATTTAAATTAGGATCTAGTTCATTCTAGCTATTGCCAGAGCATTTATAATGTCTTCTGCATTTCCAGCACTGTGTCTGGACCTTGCACACTGACTTTACCATAAACAAGCTTGTTGCTACTATTATCTTGCAAGACAGCAAGACATTCAGAGCACTATTTTTTTCCTACTTCTATTTAGCAACCTATGCTAAGTCAGCACATTGAATTTCACCCAAGTTGAAAAATGAGCCTTTTTCTTTTCTTCTTTTTTCTTTTTGCAGACCTGTGAGCCAGACACTACAACACGATTAATAAATGGCCATGGAACAATTACTCCTTTGTCGACCACTAATAAAATGGCAGGTGGAAATTCAATGTTGGTAAGTGAAAAATAATATGTAATCCTAGAAATACATACACAGTGAGGGGGTGTACACTGCCTCTGACAAAATACAGCAATTCTTACAAACTACTGGTAATTTTCGCATCTTAGACAATACTTTCTTTTTTGATTTTTTTTTTTTTGGGGGGGGGCGGCGGGTTTCAGCTTTCTCATGGATACTCTTCTTATCCTAATTCAGTTCTTGTTTCATGTCCTTTTCTTCCTCCAAGCAGCTCTTAGGGGCTTATTCTTAGCTACCTTTTTCCTTCTGTATCTAAACTACCTCTGCAGCCTGTATTTCAGAAGCTACTAATTTTTATTAATCACAAAGAGTAAGAAAAGAAATTATGCTGGGGGCATGATTAGAGGGAGAAAGTATATTTTGCTGAGGTTTAAATGGTTTTAAATTGCTGCAAATGTAGGAGACATTGCCAATACACTTGCCAAACCAGGTAGGATGGCATGACCATCATAAAGAAGAAACACCACCACTATGTTCCCCAACCTATAGTAAAAAACTCTCCAGAATGCAAAAATGTGACTTCCAGTGATCATATTCAGAGAAATATTAACCATATAATCAGAGTCGGCAAAAATACCTCATTCCAGTAACACACTGTGGTCAAGTACATACTCTATACAACAAATAAGTGCTAGAAACTGTTGAAATTCTGCTGAAATATTTGCATTTTCAGTTGTTGCCTGGTAGCAGTAAAATTGCTTGCAGGCTAAACTGAATTTAAGACAAATGAGAAAGACCTTAACTTTGGACCAAAAAAACCCTCCAAATGGAATTTGGGTTAGCTAAAAAGTTATAAGTTACAAGAAACACTGACTATATAATCTATATAAATATAGATGTTGCCAAGAGTTTTAATACTTCACAAAATGTAGCCATAGGTCCTAAACAATTACTGTTGGTGTGATGTAACATTAAGCCATCAGCAAATTGCATGCTATTGCTTATATTGTAATATGATAGACAAAAGTGTTAATTATCTGCTTTAGTAAATGTTCTTGGTCAATCTTCAATATTAATAAATGGTCAATTCTTCAACTAAAAACATAGCATTTCTATAATACAAAGATTTCTAATATCCTGTGGGGATATTTCTTCTTTTGATAATTAAGAAGGAAAAATACCAGCATTCTTTGCACAACACAAGATAGACATACATCAGAAATCTCTTACCCATGTATTTATTAATCATCCTAATCCACCTTTCTTTATGCGAGACAAACTCAGATGATGTAGTTAAAAGAAAAGCAAGATAACTTCAGGATAAGCTAAAAGGCATTATCATCTAACCTTCTTAAGAAGTATGTAGCTATTTTAATTTTAAAAATTTAATTCCTAAACAATTCTATATGTTTTGTTTGTACATACTTAACATATTATATTCTGTATTCCTCTGTTTCTCTCATCTACCTGCACACAGAGCTCAGTTACATCCTACTGTGATTTCAATGGGGACTCATCCCATAGCTGCAAGACTTATTGAAAGGCACTGTCCTTCCTGTCAGTGGCAGGACTATATACTTCTACTTCAAAACATTTTTCAGGAGCCAAAGCATAGACTGGGATCACATTGCTTAGGTTTTTTTTCCATAATGAGTGTTTGAGTTCAACCTCAGCTTACTGTCCTATGCAAAAAAAACCCTGAAGGCATGTAGGTAAAGGGTGCCATTTTCCCGTTGCAGAAAA